ACAAGTTATCTCTCAGGGTGATGACGGCGCTCCTGGGCACACTTTGCTCGAACGTGGCAAAGTGTGCCCACTACTTTTGGACTACTTTAATGTTTTTGCTGTTGGGCGCTCTGTGGCATGCTTCGCCTGTCACAACTCGAGCACGATCCTGCCCTGGCCGGCGATGTCAATGGCCTTACCTTCCAGGAGCTGGAACACGGTCTTGACCTCGTCGCGAAGCCGGACCTGGACCAGAATGTCTCCGCGCCAGCCTGCCCGTGCATCGACGAGAGGCTTCCACGGGTAGACCGACGTCACCTCCTCCACCGCCTGCGGCTCAAGAGGGAGTTGCGCAGCCTGCCGCGCGAATGCCATGAAAGTGGGGACCCCCGTCAGCCGCCCTCCGATGAGTTCACCGTTGAAACGGAGAACAACTTGGAGCTCCTGCCCACCAGGCGCGCGATTGGCATTGCGCTTGAGGGCCCTCGTCTCGGCAAGGGCTGGCACAGTCGCCAGCACCCCTCCCCCAAAGGAAGGGCGGTAACGGACACACTCAATGTAGGCGTCGCCCTCCTCCTGGAAAGCCCGCTCCACCGCCGTGCGCCATTGAACCTCGGAGGCGGTCGTGCGTGCTAGGGCCAACTTGGGCGAGACCTACACCGCATCCTCGAGCAACTCCTGGACCTTGAACACCGCCGCCGGCTTCGTGATATCCACCAAGACTGCCTCCTGCTGGCTATACGTGGTGTACAAGCCGACGAGGACGTCCAGCGTTAGGAAGATCTCCTTGAGGCGCAGAAGAGATACCCTCGCCGCCCAATGACCTCCCTGCGTGAGCCTGCACATGTAGATGAGGCGTGTCTACTGTGCCGTGGAGCTCGCCGCCTCTGCGGGCCCCTGCCAATTGATCACGAAGTCGTGGGGGACCTGGCCGAGTGGCCCGAGCAGCGCCAGCTCGTCCTTCTCCGCGATGTCGAGGACTACCATCGGTGAGGCGGGGATGCTGCCGATGATGCCGCTGGAGCGCATCATGCTCCACGTGCTGGCTCCGCTGGTCGAGGACAGGTGGACCATGCATAGGCTTTTGACTTGATGCATCGGCGCGTGCAGGCCAGAGACGGCGATCTTCATGGGATCGTGGCTGAACGAGGTGTTCTCGACGAAGGGGGCCCATCTGCCATGAAGAAGCTCGTGGGTCCAAGTGTCCGGAACTGGTCGACCGAATGGCAGCCCGGTCGTGGATCAAGTGGAATGATGACGAACACGTCGACCGAGACGCCCTGTGAGACGGCCTTGGCCACGCCACCGCACAACCGACCAAGGTCCTCCTTGTCCAGCGGTGCCCACATCATAAGACCACGGCCGCTCATCGACGTCATGGCCTGGATGCACGTGTCGCCCCCCTGCAGAAGCTTGCCGCACAAGTCCCTCGCCTCCTCCAGCGGGGGGAAAGTGTGGGGAGGTAACGTCGGACACCGTGCACGGAGAACCTGCGAGAGGTTCAGGAGGCTGGCGCAGGGAAGGGCGCCTCGTGCATCAAGTGCTCCACCACCGCGGGTTCCGCCTCCGCCCAACGCGGGAGCCTGTACTTGGCGACCTTCTGCAGCTTCCGCAGCCGGAGGACCTCCTTGAGTTCGTTGAGACACTGCTGTTGTGCCTCAGTCGCACGCAACGCCCATGCGCTTTTGGTCGCACGCTCGGACTCTGTCAAGAGCCCGTCAGCGACCGAGTCAATCAGGTCGCCCAGGAGCCCTGCACGGCGCATCACGAAGGCCTTGTCGGGGGCAGGCCCTTCCATCTTGCTGAGGCCGAGGCGGTCCCAGCCGTTCGACTCGTCCAGGTCGTAACCGAAGTGCCGCAGGTTGCGGCACATGGTCACCCAGGGCGGGCTGCCCGTGAAGGTGTCGCCCTCCCCG